GACTGTGCGTGAAATTTTAGCGGGGCCGGGTCCTAATTGCTGTCTTCTGATCAGCGTGGCTTTCGGTCGGCGAGTGTCGGTGGCTTCGATGCAGGGATGACTCATTCTCCATGTCTTCAGTGGGATAAAACTTTGGATGAACGACTTTCGTCAAAGACGAAAGTTCGTCCTAAGTTGCTTGGAAAGAATTACCTACTGGTCCGGTTAAATACGACAATGTACTTTCAACGTGTATAATACGATTCGTGTTTAGTACGTGTACGACTTCGTCCGAGGATCCACATGGATGAATGAGGTCTCGTCTTGAAAACTAGGCACCCAGTTTGAGTTCGAATGCGGTCACACAACCTCAAATTTGATGTGGTAGTATTAATGTTACTATTTTAATTCTGTTAGCAATGATAAGTATCTCCATTTTTTTTTTGGTTTATAAAAATTTTAAATTTTAAATTTAATGATGTAATTAATGTAACATGTTTAAATTTTAGAAAACTTTGATATCATGTTTTTAAATATTAATATTTTGTATTTTTATTGTTTGAATAAATTATGTAATCTTTAATATTTTACTTATTTTAAAGTCAATTTCTATGTATTCAATAATGATTAACTTACTTTTCATTCAAGTTATATGTGCTTGTATAGTTGGAAAAAATAAATATATAAATATAAATAACAATAAATGGTTTCATTACCATTAAATGGAAATAATAATTTCAATATTTAAAAATTAAAATATGTGATAACAAGTTGAAATACCATAATAATCATTTGGTTACATACTTTACAACAGAAATCAAAATTTTGCAAAGTTACCATTTTTGTGCAAAATATATTGATATGCAACATCATTTTACTTTAAATTAAATTAAACATAAGCTTGTATACATAAAATATTTTACAGCCAAGCACGTAGTGGTTGATATGCATGTAAAGGCATCGGGAGAAGAGTAGAATCTTATGCTAACAAGGGCATTAGAATCACACATTTGCTCACTTATAAATTTAGAAGAGCTAAATATGTAAATTGAGAAAAACCTAAAGACATTATACAAATAATATGAAATTTTGGCTAAATTTTGAATATTTAATTATTATATATTATTAACAGAAACAAATAATAACTTTGTTGCAATCGTGGCTAGAAATTCTTACACATAATATTAATGACAAATAGGATTAGATAGGAAACCAAGACAATGATTGTTTTTTGTAGGAAATAAATTAGATAAGAAGCCGAGACAAAATTATTTCCTACAAAAAACAAATAATAAAGCAAGTAATCAATTTACAATTGTTTTTATTAGGTCTCAGTTGCTTGCTTTGAAATTCTACAAAAGTTATTCAACACTGTTGAAACACAAACTATAAATATAAATATATAATTTAGACATTGTGATGGTGACTTTTTTTTCTTCTAATATTTGACACGATTGTTACTTGGTTTCTAGTTAATATTGAAAATTGTTAGCACAAAGCACTGCACATATTTAATTGTAAAGATGAAACACATAAGTTTTTGTGTATATATATATATATATATATATATACTCGATAGTAAAGATAAAACATGTATGTTTGTGCATATATATATATATATATATACATTTGATGGTGAATGGTATATAGTGATTCAAAAAATATTAAAAAAAATAACCTAAAAAAATAAAGATGATAAAAAATGTATGGATCTTTTTCATGTGATGCGTATTATTAAAAACACCAAGAATCTAAGGGGTGGGTAACTTCAACAAGTAATGTGTGCCTTGGTAGCCGAAGACAAGATAAGATCATACAGAATTTTATAAAAGTCTGGGAATTGAACAAGTGATACTTTAAACAAATTGTCTTAAATTAGAATGAATATATTTGTAAAGAAGCATATACAACTACGCGGCTAATTTTGTAGCATTTAGACTCTTGTGTACAAGTACGTGTACTGAAAGCAAAACACATTCAAATTTACACCAAGTTGGGGTAGAATAAGACACAACAATAATTTTTGAAGGATTAGTAATCCAATATAGATTTCGAAATTCAGCAGAAAACTAGACTTACACTCCTAGAGTTTAAATTGAGAAAGTTAATCAAGAAATCAGCCCCAAAAAAGGCAGATTAAGAAGGAGAAATCTGTCAACAATTAGAAGGTACTACTGTAGATACTCCGGGTATTCTACAGCAGGGAACAGGTTCCCAACCAGGGTTCCCTCGTTCTGGAAGAGAGGGAACGTGAGAACGTGGCATGGTTTTGTTGTTGTTGTGGCCCCCATGGAGTGCAAGCAAAGGAGTCTCTCCCAGAATGCACCTGGTCACTTTTCCACTCTTCCCCAAACATCATCCATCCACACAACTTACATCATCCAACAAACCCTCATCCATACGTCGCGCACATCGTCAAATGGAATCCACAGCTGGGAGAGAAAGAAAAGGAGAAGAATGAGAAGAAGAAAAGACAAAGAAGGCGCTGCAGTGGAGACTAACTGAAGAATGATCAGGGATCTGGGTTGGACAAAAGATCCTGGAGCTTGGAGTGTGGGACGCAGAGGCTGAGAATCATTCCCCTACCATCTAGCTCCCTTATACTTTTCCTGCTTCTTATTATGGCTGAATATTAAAGTGAGATGGGTGAAGTGAAGTGAGCTTAGTCTACATGGAAGTGAGTATAGATAGGCACTGAACTAGGGTCATAGGTTCCATAAGTGGGTGAGGGATATTTAGGATATGACGGTTGGAAGAGGCGAGACCCAAGTGGGGTCGCACAGTGAGATGGTTTGTTGGGCAACTTAAAGTGGCTGCCAATGTCCTCTGCGTCCATTGGAAAAGAGGTTTCAGTGGTTGTGGTGGTGGTGGTGGTGGTGGCGGTGGATACCACTATAGCTCCCCTTGCCCTTTCTTCGAGCCTTCACACCCCTCCCCCTCTATTTTGTTTATTTTTATTTTGTGTATGTAGAGGACAATGATAAATTCATATTTCTTTTGTATGAATTTCAATAGGAGGAAACTTGTGTTGATGGGTATGGATGGATGGATGGATGGATATATATATATATATATATATATATATTGGGGTAGAGGTGATTTTATAATTTTTATTTTATAGATATTTTGAGATTTGATGTTTCTTGTGATTTTTTAGTGAATATTCTCTTGTGAATAGAAGTCAACACTCTATGAGATGAAAAATAAAAACCTACTGGTAATTAAATGAAAATATTTGGTTAAATTCATTGAGTATTATTTCATGGTATTTTATTTTATTTCATTTTTTTATCTTTATTTTTTACAAAAAGATGTTTAGAAGTCATGCTTGCTTAAGCTTTAAATTTTCATAAATTGAGCACCAAAACAGTATCATTGTTACATTGCTATGCGAAGTGATATGAAACATAAGTGATTCCTTTGGACATCTGTATCATTCCACTACATCATACACATATGCTAAATATCATGTTATGGGGTATTCGAAACCTAAAACATGGTTCAAAAACTGCTGAACTAATCTTTTGCACTCAATGTTGGAGAATTGGGTTCCAAGTAACTGAAATCTATAAAAATAAATAAATAAATAATCAAAGAAAACTTGTTATGAAATGATATAAAATGAAACAAAACAAAAACAAACAAGCAAGAGTGCTTTATCTCTTTGCAGCTCACATTGTACAGATTCTATAACAATGCAGTTTCCAAGGTTTTAGGGTTTGGACCCCATTTGTACATGAAAACAAAAGATTGAATCCCAGAAATTATAGACTTAAAAGGCCAAAGTATCACTGTCAGTGTACTTCCCCATCACTTATGCATAAGGGCAAATGAAGGTTCATCTCTCATTTGCAATAAACTTTTTTATGCCTTTGACTTGCTATGTGGCTCCAAGCAAATAGTCATTTAGATCCATTGGGTATCTTCCCCATTCACTGGTAATTAGGATCAATTATTGCATAACAAAGACTACATAGTAAGTTTCATGGTTTTATGACCATATTGGCCCACCTCATATTTGGCCACCTCACTTCAGCCTATCTGAGATTCCCTTTCCTTATTCACATTGTGCACTGTGTCCAGGTGGTGGTGTCCAACTGGTTCTCAACTGTGGGTCAAGAGCCTACTTCTAATGAACTTGGAAAAAAATGTTTATTTCCAAATTTCCCAACTAGACTTTGAGCATTTCACTCAATGTTACAATGACACAACAATGAGCCAATTATTAAGGTTGCCTTCCCAACATAAATGTGGACCTAACCCCATTTATGGGTGAAGTTGAGTAATCATGGTGGAAACCAAAATGGGTTCTACATGTATCAAGTAGGCAAAGAGGCCCTTGTTTTGAGGCATGCCCAAACAATGTGACACTACCACACACACACACACGGTGAAAGGCTCCGTTGCCATCCTTGGGTTTTAATCGCCACCGAAGAAAACCCATCTTAGACTCCCGCGGTTTCAGGACAGGGGAGACCCATGAGCGAGGCGGGAAACCAACAGGCGGGATACTTTTTCATCCACGAAGATTCCGACGACGGCGAGCTCCGGAAGCCTCGCATCCATCCATGATAACGGATGAAAATAGATTCCCGAATCTCATGTGGAATTACAGCTTTCGCTTGATGGGAAAGAATTCTTTCCGCGCCGGAAAGATTTACGTGGTTCGGCCTGATAAGGCCAGGAGCTCGACTGTTTCGACCACGCCAAAGTCGGCTTTTGCTCTGATCGGGTTCCATAGATTCTCGCTCTCGCCACCTTGGGTGTGTTTCTGGGACCCTGTTTACCTCCGCTCTGTCAATGTCACCCACCTGTGCGCTTTGGTGTTATGTCACTACCATTTATTTACTTTGAGAAGAATTTTTCTGGTTGTTGTTGCTGTTGTTGTTGTTGTTTTGGTGGTGGTGGTGGTGGTGGATCTTGAGGCGAGTTTGGTGGCGTGATCCGTCTCATGACTTCGTCGATGTTATAGAGATGCTGGTCACGTTGGTTGTAGAGTTGGGTTGATGGACAGGGTGGGTCGGTGGGCTGGCTTTTGCTTGGGTCGAGTTGAATTGGGTGCTAGGCGTTGTTGTTGTTGTTGTTGTTGTTGTCGTTTTTCGTGATCGTTGTGGGGATTTCTGCGAGAAGAGGAGCGCGTAATTGGGCGTGGAGGTGGTGGATCTTTGGTTATTTTGGTGGAGATTTTGTTTGGTGTTGGGATCCTGGTCAGATTTCTTGAATGTGTGCTCCCCGGGTCGCGTGGCGAGATTTTGGTTTGATGGTGGATTTTTGACCCGTTCATGCTATTGCGCAAGATCTTGAGGAACGTTTTTGTGTATGAAAGATCTTGCAGAATTGTCGTGTCGTTCGGTTTACAGATCCGTCAACATGGTTCTGCAATTGGAAAATTCCGTCTGTTTGCTTGACATGCATGAGGAATTGGCTCTATTTCCGAGAAGTGGGAGCTTCAGCAGACAATTTCTCCTGCTGCGAGGCTTTCCTTTAATTCCAAATTCATAGTTCTTGATATATTGGCCATGCTTTTTCGCAGCTTGAATTTTGCAACTGGCCTACGCCCATCAATTTAGGATTGAACGTAGTTTCTTTGCTGCTATGTCCTAGCCCTGAGAAATGGTCGCTGACATGTGAAACTTTTTTGAGGGCGGATTTCTCGGGGTTACTTTTCAAACAGCCTCTTAGATGCTTCGATCCTCACGTTAATACTTGTATACTTACGTTGTTTCATGCTCGCAACGTTTAGCCGGTTGCCCATGATGTAAATGTTGAGAGTTTGTTTGGTCCCCCTCTTGTGTCTTTTCATGCGGTTGAGTAAAATGACCTGAAAATTTATTATCGTGATCATGCAGGAATTGATTAAATACAACCTTTGGGTACCATGGAGTCTGGAAGGGGAGCGCTGTTGGTCCTCTTGGTTGCTCTTTGTGCAGCAAGTGCGTTGGGTCGGACGCCTTCGTGGGATGGCAAGATTGAGATGCCAACCGAAGAGGACGCTGAGAAGGGCACTCGCTGGGCTATCCTTATTGCTGGATCGTCTGGGTACTGGAACTACCGTCATCAGGTAGGGGAATATTGAATTACTGTCTGAATTATCATTCAATTCGTAGCGTTCTGCGTATTTAAAATTATTTACCTGAGCTCAATGATTTCAAGAGTTTACTTGTGATCGTGACCTTGGTTGTTTCTTTGTGGCTTGTGGACTGAGCTTTTTTCCATTTGTCGCTTTTGTGGGAAGGCTGATGTATGCCATGCATACCAAATCCTCAAACGTGGAGGCTTGAAGGAAGAGAACATCGTCGTATTCATGTACGATGATATTGCATACAGTACTGAGAATCCACATCCAGGAAAAATTATCAACAAACCCGATGGACCTGATGTGTACCAAGGCGTTCCCAAGGTTAGCCAGTCTACTTTTAATGACTCTTGGTTACGCTCAATCATGTGATGGAAGGGTGGCTTACATTTACCTAGAATGCCATGATAATTAATTTTTCTGATCTGGCTTTCAGGATTACACAGGTGCTGACGTGACTGTGAGCAATTTCTATGCCGCACTCTTGGGTGACAAGGATGCCATCAAAGGCGGTAGTGGAAAGGTGGTTAACAGTGGACCTAACGATCACATCTTCATCTACTACACCGACCACGGTGGTGCTGGTGTCTTGGGTAAGTTCTTTTGGGGAAACCGTAGGTTGTGATATGTCCAAATTCTGATGTCCAATTTTGCGGACGCTAGAGTCCGTTACTGCCGGCGTTCATTGAAGTATTATAGTTCATTCAAGTGTAAAGTTTCCGCTCCCATCTTTTGTTCAGACTATTGAAGTTGATATTCAAATTTAAAAAGTGAGCTTTGGTTATTTTGCCGACAGGTATGCCCACCTCGCCCAACCTGTACGCAGATGACTTTGTGGACACACTCAAAAAGAAGGCTGCAGCCGGAACTTTTAAGGAGTTGGTAAAAATCTCAATCCATCCAATTTCTGCCAATTTTATGAGTTTGACTTTCATATTTGTATTTCAGCAACTTGAAAGGACCTCCATTTATAAAAGGTCAATATGTTGTTGTGCAGGTGATTTACCTTGAAGCTTGTGAGAGTGGCAGTATTTTTGAGGGTCTTTTGCCAGAGGGCCTGAACATCTACGTTACCACTGCCTCAAATGCAGAGGAGAGCAGCTGGGGCACTTACTGCCCTGGCATGTATCCTCCACCACCTCCTGAATATGACACTTGCTTGGGCGATCTCTACAGTGTCGCGTGGATGGAAGACACGTAAGTCAATTCAGTTGTGCTCGAGTATGTTTTTCGAAATAATTATTTTGGGATTGAAGACCAAATTGTGATACTAGTGTGTGTTGCTATGTTGCAGTGAAATCGAAAACTTGAAGAAGGAAACACTTGAGGACCAGTATGTTATTGTAAGATAATATCTCATCGCAATCTATGTATTGTTGAAAACCTATCACTATTGAAGCTTTCTGTGACGCTGTAAAGGGTAGTGAAAAAGGAACTTTGTTTCTTCATGAATGGTCGTGGAGCTAACGCATTACTTTCCATTGCATCCAGGTCAAGTCTAGAACCTCAAACCACAACACGTACCGCACTGGCTCCCATGTGATGCAATATGGTGATGTCAAACTTGACGTGGAAGAGCTGGCGCGCTACCTTGGTTACGACCCAGCAAATGAAAATGTGACCAAGCCTGAGCTTCCAGAGTTCTTATCGGCCCACACTGAAATCCTGACGCACGTTGATCAGAGAGAGGCCGACCTTATCCACCTGCGATACAAGGTACTGCCTCGTAATCCGAAATAACAGTGAATCCTGGCTCTCTACTTTCATTGCCACTCGTAGAACTGAACAGTAGTACGATTGCTGAGAAGACAAGCTTGTCTACTATTGTTCACTCATCTTATTTGTACACGTGCTGCAGTTCCGTAACGCTGTGAAGGGATCCTTGAGGGAGGCAAACGCTGCAACCGAATTGGCTAAAACAATCGTGCATCGTAAGCACTTGGATGACAGCGTTCAGCTGATTGGAGAGATTTTATTTGCGGGAGAAAACGCTCTTGAGAAGCTCACTGCCGTGCGCCCAGCTGGGTCTGTCGTTGTGGACGACTGGGCTTGTCTTAAAACCATGGTTAGTTCGACTCTGGTCTTATGTGATATTGTTTTTAAGGATGTTAACAATCCGTTGCGTGCTCTCTCTACCAATCTCTTATCTCCTAGCTGATCTATGCTCTAATATGTGAGGAATGTATCGTGCAGGTGCGCACTTTTGAAGCAAGCTGTGGTCCACTGACCCAGTATGGTATGAAACACATGCGTGCGTTTGCAAATATCTGCAACGCTAGAATTGATCCTGCAAAGATGGCCGTGGCATCGTCTGAGGCTTGCAAACTCAGTACCAGTGCTGGTTCTGGAATTTGGAGCCCTGTTACTTCTGGATTCAGTGCGTGAGTGGGGCATTCAAATGCGTGAGTTGTCATCACTTTCGTAATGGATCTTTTTAGAAGCAAGTCCTTGCTTCGATGAAGGAGCCAAAATTGTACAGCAGCAACAGCCACCTCCAGAATCAGGGAATTGGATTTAACCCGTACGGAACACGGGTATGACAATTTCCATTTCCTTGAGTCCTCCAGGAAACGACTTCATTTACTCTATTACAAGATACAAAGATTTGCTATTGATTTTTTAATGCGAGTTCAAGAGGCTTTGTTGGATTCAAAGATTTGCTATTGATTTTTTAATGCGTTGTGTCAGTACATGCTTTGTTGGATTTTTTGTTAACTCTGACTGGAGGTCAAGTGTTACGCAAACGACAATAGAGAGTAAATTCCATAGTTCTGTAGCTGCTTATCCCTTGAATTATATACTTCTAGTTGAAGCTGAAGGTCAATACTTTATGTGTACAGATGTAAAATTTAATAGTACATATTTTAATAGAAGCTTCCATTGTACAATCTATACAATATAATAAATCACATAGTTTAATGTAAAATTTACTGTTTCTTTTTCTGATGAATTTGCTCCTATTTAGACGATTGTACTGACACAACCTAATCGTAAAAGCTTCACCAGCGATGTATGTAAAATCGCAAGTAAAGGATGATTGTTGTCACTAGACATCGAAAGTTATGTTCATGGCATATATTCAATACGCCTTACACTTGTTGTGCCAATCCCATAAACTTCATATCATGCCGAATTAATAACCATCAAAGGATACATTAACGTGAAACCTAGATAATAACTTCGATGTATAATGATAGAATTGAAGGATGTAGGCTAATCATAAATGACACAATAATCCAAGTTCTGATAGTGACACTCAGCGTACAAAAAATATCTTCATACAAAACAATTTACAAACCGTGCTACTCAGCTTGCAGGACGCTTTCATATAGCTTGCCAGCATATTTAGAGCATGCAAACAGAAAAATATGCATATTCGACCTACTTCCGACCAAATTGCTAGATTGATATGAATATTTCCATTGTTAGGGCTTGTACTTGAAAGTAATCGGCTGATCCTACGGTTGATTTCACGACCACTACTCTAAACCGGAACTTCCACTCCAAGCTTAAGTACATTGTCACTAGTTCAATTTACAATTGAACCTTTCTCTTGGTACACCCACAAAAAGAAATTATCTTCCTTCTGTAACGCAGTAAAAAGCACAGGCCTTCGCACTTCGCGTCCTCTAGATGTACATTCTTTACCTGTTGTACAGAAGGCCTAATAAAACATGCAACTTCATTGTCATGTTCAGGGGCAGAGGATGGTTAATGGACTGAAAATTTAGGGCCTTGGACATAACAAGGTCTCCACCTCCTATGCTTCGTTAAAGTAGTGCTCGAAGGACTCTTTAACAAATGCATTTCAAGCGGAACGTGCGAGTACTTTCACCATTGTCCTTGGGTGCAGAATTGAAGTGATAGAAGCTTAGAATGGTATTGTTCAATTCTCACTCGAACTCTAATGCAAGAGCACGATGCCGTTGCATGTCACTCTCGTAATCGTCTGTGTAGCCGTAATCTTCCTGTGACTCGGTGTCAGAGCATGCAAAATCATGGGATCTTGAAACCAATCTGGTCAGGTGCTCAGATTTCTTTTCTGCTCCGTCTTCCGACAATAATTGCACAACCTGTCATCCCAAGATTCCATCAATTTTCTAAAACCCTCCAAAAACTTGACAGATTTGAAAGCTTGATTATTACTTCAGGATTGCAGGGATTCTGATGCATTTGAGAAGAAGCCTGGTACCAACCTGGCTCATGGATGGACGCCATGGAGCTGACGGTCGGACACACAGGGCTGCTGTCAATACCATACGCCGCATTTGGACAGCATCGAAGGAACCATCCAACCGTGGATCAGCGAGTTCGTCGACGTCGCCTTTGTTTAGATGAGGCTTTGCCTATCATGAGCAAAGGGAAATTTAGTTTGCGAAGGAGAGCTAGAAGTAGTGGAGCACGGAAAGATCTCTTTCATGAACCATAATTGTCATTGCGTGACAGTGATTGGACAGTGCAAGTGATAAATGTTTGAGATGAGTTGTAATAAAATAGCGACACTGGTATGGTACCCACCCATATAACGAGGTTCTGTTTATCAGAATCAACAGGTCGGCGGCCTGTTATCAGCTCTAAGAGCAACACTCCGTAAGAAAAAACGTCCGTCTTCTCATCCACAATCCCATGCATGAAGTATTCGGGTGCTAAATACCTGAAGGTGCAGGCGTCACTAGGTTAGTTACTTCTGGCGTTAGGCCATCTCAACACCAGTCTCAAGGAAAACACTATGAGACTTACATAGAATGTACGCAGAAAAATGGCATAAACATATGCAAGTGATTCTGGACGTACGGAAACAACGGCACTGGCGAGGACAGTAGCATACCCAAAAGTTCCTTCTATAGGTGAAACTGTGTGATGAGTCCATCTGTCTGGAAGCCATTTTGACAAGCCAAAATCTGATATCTGTGTACCATAGAAGTACAGTTAATAATCTGGAGTTTCTGAACATGCAAAATGAAGGCATTCTAAACCGAAATCGAGTACGGTCGGCACCAACCTGAGGCTCAAAACAAGAATCCAGTAATATGTTTGAGGCCTTGATGTCACGGTGAATGATCCGCCTTTGACACTGTTCATGTAGATAATATAGACCTTTCGCTACTCCTACTGCTACTTTGATCCTTGCCTCCCAAGAAAGCGGTGAGTTATTCGGTGCTGTACATTCAACAGGTTCATCTTAGTAAAAGTTACAGAGGTGACGAAACCATTGAAATAAGAGCGCCATCACTTGAGAGATTGTAGACGTCCTACAGCTTGAAAATGTTACAGTCGATTAATTCTTGAATACGGTTAGTGAAATGTGGAAAAGGCCGCATGGTGGAGGGAGCAGGCACACTTACAATGGAGTAGTGGCTGAAGACTGCCAAGAGTAGAGAACTGGAAGACAAGGTGCAGACCATTTTCGATGCAGATACCCAAGAGTTTTGCTACGTTCGTATGGGATACGTGGCTCACGATGCCTAATTCGATCAGAAAATCCCTCTCCTTTTCTGCTGCTGTGACACCTCGACTGTGTTTCTTCACAGCGATCAACTGACCATTTCTCAGCACTCCTTTGAAAACCTTCGCGTATCCACCCTTGCCAACTAAATTCTCTGGTTACATGTAGAAGCATTTTCCACCTTGTGAGAAACTCACATGGTCAAGAACTTTCACACAAGAAATTATGTCCTTGATTGAACTTCGAATATTTAGCTTGGGAAAATCTTTGTCGATGATGAACCAACGAAGAGATATCATTAGATCGTGTTGACTCTGAGTAGCAGTTCCTGAAATGACATGTTTCAACAGAGAATATGGAATGATCACTGGATACTCACCTGGGTCGAAATTATTAGTTGCAAGAGAAATGTCCTCGTATGAGAATGTCTGCCAGGAACGTTTGGCGTTATAAGATACACTGAGCAAGTCATCTACACACTCCTGATCTGAAAGTCCTGATTGTGGCCCCTCTTCACCATTCCTGTCAGACGGGGACATCAACACAGGATCCGAGATGGACAGCTCTTTCTTCCGATACGATGAAGGGAAAGACTGCCATTTTTTAGTTGCAAACGATCTCCAGAGACTTTGCATGCAATGTTTCTGGCTTGGTTGTGCCAATCCACTGTAATCAGTTCCAACTTCACCAGTAAAAGAAAAACTCAAGAGACTTTTTCTTGAAGAAGACTCCGACCACCCACTTGACTCTGGGCCCTCGAGCACTGCTCGCGGAGAACCCTTCTCAGCATCGAATTTTAAGTCTTGTCTAGAATTATTCATCCTGAAGTTCTTCTCGATTTTAGAACCCTCTTCCCAGAGTGCAGCATTTATGGGACCTGATTCGTCATCTACAATGGGAGGAACTGAGCAGAAGAACTTCTGCTGCAGGATGCACTTCTGCCTTGCCGACTCTCTAGGGCTCCTCACGCAAACTTCAAGGTTAGACCTCGACACCTGGATATCCTTCGGTTTAATTCCAACATTTCCCATACGACTGGGTAGGGACTTGATGGACGACAGTGCATCATCGTTATCTGGAACTGATGTAGCAGTTTCAGTTTTTTTACTCTGATTTTCGACATTCGAGTCCATGATCTTCGATGAAGTCTTTCTCCACTCAAAGCAAGCTACACAATAAGTCTGATTCATTCTGGAGACAAGAACAGAGCAAAATCCATAAGTTGGAGTCCGGCAAATTACAAATGCCGAAACCAATGCTCAATACTTCAAATATTTGGACGATAAATTTATGTCCCGTAGTCATCACAGCAATAAATGTTGGCATAAGATTCTAGTGTACTAGACGGTGGAGTTACCGATTGCAGATGACCTGCGTGGCGCACACCTCGCAGAACTCTCCCGTCAGGACCCAACCCGCCGATAGTTTCACAGCTACAGCAGTGTCGTGCTCTCCAGCGTTTGAAAGCTTGTTGACGAGGACGTCATTTGAGTCGCCCATGACTGGAAATCTATCTGCTGCAAGGGCCAATTGTTAATGAGCCGGCTGTTTGTGCTTGTTCAAATGGATCAGCATCAAGCTAACCTATTCGCAACGTCAGGCACCACTCCTCACTGTCATTTTCAATCTCATCCAACATGAAATCGTTTTCGGCAAAAGAAAAAAAGGCACATCGCAATGGACTTCAAATTTTCGGAAATTATCTAAGAACTTAGCCCATCATAACGCTTTTCACAACACACACCAGACATGATAAACTGGTGGCCTCTTCCGTTTGGACTGTAGGTTTAGGAAACATTAATCTGTCACTCGTCTGTCCAGACCTCATCGTGCAAGCTCATAGTTAGCGAACAAACTGGTTAAGACAAAAGGAAGAGTTCAATGCTGCCTGAAACGTGACAAGAAAGTAGATTACAGCAGCTGACTGCCGTTACTCCTCTACTCAAAAACTACTGTGGAGCGAGTTATTCCCGTCCATGCAACCAGGGACGTGCAGTTGGTAATAGTGTCCGCAATCACGGGTACTCCTTGACACCTACTTGAGGGGTGGATTTACCAAAGCTACCTTACGCGTAACAACCAAAATTCGGTTGACAAAGATTATACACCGATTTGTAGTACTGCAAACCACCAAGACCTTCTAGACCGCTGCGACGTGATTTCGTGCTTCAGAAATTGAATTTTATGTTAATTAATGAAGAAATTTCTCACAGGACATATTACTAAGAAGGCCAGGAGATACCCATCACGAGATCAGCTAGGGAAGCTTGAGGCATCGACAGCGAGAAATATCATTGAACACGAACGCCTGAGAAGTACTCCAGGCTCGCCTAACACTACGCTAAAATTCACAACGGGTACATCGAATCAACGTTACTGAAAACATTCGACGTAGCTAATAAGTGCCGTACTCGTTGGAAGGTGAACCGCACGACCAATATCAATGCATCTGAGGTATCTTGCTGGTTTGCTAGACCAGCTTGTGGAGCTAAGCGTCGGTAGTGCCACGCTAATGACTGAAGCTTTCCCCGAATGACTCAGAACTAATCCTTGGTCCAATGCAATTAAATCTCAACTATGCCGAGTTGAAGGCAATTACTGAGTGGCCTATCACTGGTTTGAGCCTCTAACATCACTGCATTATCGTATAAAATTGACCTGTACCTTCTTAAAGTTCCACAGCCATCGTCACAGAACCAGTGGCCGCCGGAAATGTAGCCACTGGGCTAAACTTCGGCGGTGATTACCCGTTAAGTAGTGTAGCGACTTGAGAGGGCCCTTGCCCGTGCCGAGAGAATTCCTCCAAACAAGAAATCAAGACAAAACTACCCTCTCCAGACTGAAAATGCACTGATGGCAGACCGACGAATCACAGCTCCACCCGGCTAGGTGTGCCGGAACGGAACACAGCACAAGGCTTTCTCAGCCATGTGAGCTCGTCCTCTAAAACTGCACTCCTGCATCGAGTAGAACAATCAGAAACTGCAGCTTCTGCAAGAGAAGCTATCTTGCTCGCGGTCATCTAGCACAGCCCTGCGGCCTTCCTGCCATAACGCACCCTGGTCTTCCCAAGAGAGAATAATCGAAAGTTCAACCCACCCTGACAGAATCCGCATCACACTGCACACGGCAGAAGAACTCTCACCAAAATCGAGACATCTTCTCCCACTAGACCCACACTTCTGCGGGATAGACACATACGCCGATCGTGAAGGAAACAAATGAAAGCAAACTACCGCGCAGACAGAATGCAAGGGAAGTGGGTTGCTACAGGACAAGTTGGGGCGTGTCAGAGCTGGACCAACGAACAAAACGATGTTCTTCGTCAAATAACCAACGAATGTGAGGACAAAGTGGTTGAGGGAACCAGAAGGGTGGCCGAGGAGTCCGCCACGGAACAGTCTAATAACGGGCCGCATTTTGAATTGCTAAAACGAGACTTTCAAAAGCATCTCCCGCACTACGAACATGATAGTGATGGAGTGAACCCAATTGGGCTCCTCGATTCTTCCGATGACAAAGCCTTCGGAGTGACTCCTCCGTAAAGCTGCATTTGATTTACACCTTCGGAAGGACGCCCCCAAGTAACGCGGCGCGGCGAATGGCTTCCCTCGTAATGAGCCACATCAAGAGGAAGAGAGAGAGAGAGGGAGCCATCTAGTTCATAATCTCCTCTTCCAGTTTGGATAGAAGCGTAGTCGATGCATTGTCCCCTCAAAAGTAGGAGTTAGTGACTGTAATTAGTGATGACCCACTTGACCGATGGCCTCGACCTTGCGCGACCTCGTTGTCGCTTCCTGCACCCCCTATTCTTCTAATTCTGACAAGACCCACAGGGCTTCTTATTTTTGCATGCGTGCAAAATCACTCCAGTTTCACAGTGAAAACTTGTACCTGATTTCGCAGTGAGGGGCTTCAAATGCTCTGTCCTTGATCTCTGCTGCAGAGGCTTTAACAAGTATCTCCATACCTTTTTTCTTGTACTTCTTTGTCGCCATGGAATTTGTGTTTGTATGTGTCTTTGGGGATGACGACATCCACCATCAAATGATTGCAACGCCGCTGGCAGGAGGAAAAAGCTTCTGACACATGAATGGGAAGAGTGGGCGGCTAGTGAAGTGACTTCAAAAAGACAAAAATACAAAATATATTTTTATGTGTATACCTACATACACTCATACATGCACACACACAATCAAACAAACAAAAAAAACTTTCGTTATTGCTGGGTTGGACAATTGAATGTATCAATGGTCCATAAAAAAATTACCGTTTAAAACCGCTCAGAAAGTTCTTTTTCTTTCCATACTTTTTGTTCACATTTCTCCCAGCATCCATTCAATGGTCAGCTTCTCCAGGCGCTTGTGAAAAATCCTGTTTATCAATCCACCACAACAATAAAAATATGAAAAAGAGAATGGTTTTCTTCCAATCGTGTGAGAACACATTCATAGGTACCCAATTCGAGAAAGATCATAATTTATAATGAATGTCTCCAATAAGTGTTCTGTTGATGTTAATGGCACAGAATTGCGTGCAGTATTCTCACGCCTGAGGAAACACCAATTTTGTGTATCGAAATTTGTGAAAACAAATGAATTGAAAGCACGTAACAGAGGAGTTTATGAAATTGGTCACCAGACTTAGAGCCCACAACCAATCCGTTTAATCCCCACCAGCTTTGCTCAGATGTCAGCTCTGTTCATATAGGGGACGGTAGTCGTCCAAGATCGACAAAGAAAGCTCCGGAACACCGCAGACAACAGAAAAGAGCCAAACACTAGCTAGAGATTTTTAAAAAGGCTCCACCTGAACCCCCCCCATTGCAGTCACCATCATTGCCCAGCAGTGAAAAAAACACAATGTGTACCTCGCGGATATTCAATTTCACCTTTCAGGAAGGAGCACCTAATCCCCAGAACATGGGATAGTGGATCTATCGACTAGGTCTTCGTTACCGTTGGATAGGCAAAGCCACGGACGACGGAGCAAAGAGAGGGAGCCATGCCTGGTTTCTACCAGGTGTCGCAACTCAATGAAAGCTTGTATCCGTCCCTGCTAACAGCACTCAAGTTAAAAATAAACCATATTGTGTCCATTGGGAGCCTGCAACGACGACAGGTTTTCCCGATTTGATCCTCAGTTGGAAGGGTTGTTAATGGCCCTGAAAATCATCCTTAAAGTTTTCTCGTTGAAAGTTTAAAGAAGGGTAGAAAAAATGTGTTGAAATCCGGCACTGACAAATCAACAATAAGTGACTAATGTGTAAGAGCTTTCATTATTGTTAACAACTTAAAATTTATGAATACTTAGGTCTGGACACATCACCTGGAGCTTTGGGATGAAGTCGAGCAGCTTCTTCATCCAGATTATTGCAGCATCTGGATTGACCAGACAATACTCAATACCAGTCACAATATTCTGGTGGACAGGATTGCTCGAGATCGATGGACTGAATTGGAATCGGCAGTCTTTTTGTCGTCATTCTCGAGAGAATCTGGTAGCGAAAATTCGAGAAGGGAACAGATCTAGCTTATTCTGTAATTCTGATTATTAGACTTGAAGGGACTTAAGGCAGACTTTCAACTGGAAACATACCTGGTAAATAGTGACATTGTCCAGAATCCCAATCATTTTACCCAGCTTCTGCTGAAACCGACCCAACATTCCTTAGGATGCTGAAAAAGATGAAGCAATACTGAACCATATGCAAGCATAACTTTTCGTTTGAGAGTTAAATGCCTCCTGAACCACCCAGCCCATTACAGTGATCCAGCTTGCATGCCACGTTGTCTAACAACATTGGTAAGTTCTGAGGACAAACAAGTGGATTTTATCGAATAGTCACAAAACTCTCCCTTCATAGATAGAGAGCACCAACTGCTAATTGGATGGTATGTCATCCCCTAAACAAAGATAATACTATTCAGACACAAACTTGGAAAAAAAGGTGAATAGTATTCAGAGACTCTTGCTCTATATGTGCAAATTATAGGCAACATCCATAATTCCTTCTTTGAATACCATTGACATACACATCCAACTTGACCTCATTCTTATGTGCTTCGATGCTGGTAAGGTAATTCATCATGTAACTCTCAACATGAAGAGGAATAGTGTTTCGTAACGTAAAATAAACTGGCCCCTTCGGGTAATATAAGCGGATTGATTATTCCAAATAATCAATCCGCTTTCAACGACGCGAAAGCTTCTCATCACACGGAATGAAATGGTCAAGTGCTAAAGTGAAGATTTTTAGAGTTAAAAAGTGAAGCACAACATTAATGCAATGATCAAAATCCGGGATACGCGGATTGCACGTATCAAGTCGGCAGCCCAAGATAGGCCACAGCGCTTAAGTAAAATCGCAAATTTAGACTCGGGGGCACCAAAGCACCTGCCGTATCATGCATGGTGATAAATTTATTTCAGAATTGCCAAAGTTTCACGGAGCCAGGTGGAAAAAGGCCTCTGCAAAAGAGTCCCGAAGGAACAGCCCACATTTTATCTCTAGAAGAAAGAAAGAGAAAAAAAAAAAAAAAAAAAAAAAAAAAACCTTTTACTTAGTACAGATGATGTTTAAAAGGTTTAAGAATGGAGCAACGAGTCAAACAACTACATTCACTGTCACTAGATAGAAGAGTAAGGTTTGGTCAAACAATGTAGGAGGAATACGGAACAGGGCAACAACCAAATGAGAGGATCGGTGACAAATCGAAGATCTTACAATGTTAACGTCCGAGTCCTGGGCATGTCTATGTCGAGATCACAACAGGCTCCTTTCATGAGAGGAGCTGTTGAGGCAATCTATACAATTTCAAGAAGCAAGTCATGCCTGGGAGCCTAGACGTCTGCGGCTGAAGTGTTCCAACAAGCAGTTGATCTAAACCAATGTTGTCTGCTTCCACTAACGTTCCCGTTTGCGGTAATGTAATCGGACATAGTTTATCCCAATTTTTTGTATCAAGCTCACCACCTCTTCAATGGTTCTTAGTGGACATGTTTCTCAAAAAGGCTTCAATTCAGTATTTCGATTGGGAAGATTGAACCTGCGAAGCCAAAATCGACAACAAAGATTATGCTACTGACAACTAGAATACCGTAAAATATCTACGTTCAGAAAATTAGTGGCTGTAAAGGAAGCTACATTGTTGAATCACCGAGGTGGATGACCAGCAGATTAGTACTGATGATATGATAGAAGACTAAAATTTCAATCCATTTAATTAATTTTTAGGAAAAAAAAAGAAAAAAAGAAAACCAAAAAACCGAAAAAAGGAGTTTGCAACAAATATCCGTACCAGGTATATGAGTGCAATTTTACTCGGGTAAATGGTGAAAGACGAGAGTAAAAAAGATGCAAGTAGAAAACTAAGTACCTGGTATTGGCGATGCCCTTTTTTCAGCAAATATCCTGCAACATTTAGCTTGTCGATAAGGACATCCACATCAGGCACTTGGAGGCAGATTTGATCCGCAATACTGAACAGCTCCTGCAAAAATTGATGGGAAGAATGTAAGGAATAGATGAAAATATGCAAAACAAGAAAAAGAGAGTTTGGGATAAAAGGAAGAAGTTACTTGAGAAATCAGCTCGCACTTACTGCTATCGAGAACAAATTCCTCTCCTCCGCTGCAGCCTTGCGCTGAAGAAAGCTCAAAAATCGCTTGCCCTCTTTCTGTTGACTCATGCCTCCACTACGGGCAAGATCCACTTGACCGTGCTCATCTACTAATTTATCAAACAATGACTCTTTCATAATCTCTACCACATCCTGTGAAAGGCACAAGTAGAAGCACACTCAATTCTTTGTCAACCAATATGTTGGGTTTGATTGCAAGTTGAAAGAGAATTCTAAGAGTGGAAAGTACCCCGATATGATGAACATGAACTCCGTAGCCATCAGCGTTCATATCACGTACCTTGGCGTCCTGCTTAGAGATTTCTTCGCGAAGCTCCAGTCGAGCTCTAGCTTCAACAAGGCGCACTAAGCTTTCGAGCTGTCTAGCAGTAATTGGGCTGCCATCCGCATTGCTATGTTTTCTAAGCTGAAGATAAAAGTGCTGCAACACATCAGCAGCTTCCTTCGTCATCCTGAAAAAAATTAGAATTTATAAGGTGAGTATTGTGAAACCGCACTCAACTTCATCCATTCTTACGAAATACATTCTGAATCGCACAAACAATTATTATAGTAATGTCAAAGCACAAAAATCATAATCTTTTCAAGATCTATGGACTTTGAATACAAGGTCAAAATCAACGTGATTTACTCAACGTGTGTAAAGGTTAACTTGGCTAAGCCATACACTAAGATGTACCTTGGATTTACATATTGACGTGCATATGCAATGTACTTCCTAAGAAACTCAACAGGCAAAGGCTTCAAGTCCCTGTCCTTCACTGAATCCAACTTCAATCTCTTTAAAAGAGTAGAGTCTCCCTCTAACACTTGTTGCAAACTTCCTTGAGCATGCTGTCTCACTGTAGCCAACAGCAGATGGAAATATGCCAAATCAAAATAATGTAAAATAAAAATATCAGATGCGCACCAAAAATCGAAATGTGACTGCTAAGTACATGAATTTTTACGACTACTGACCCTGAAGACCTCCCCTCTCAAGTAAAACTGCTCTTGCCAAGAATAACGAAGAAAATAACAAGTGCACAATTTGACTCAATCCTCATCTAGATGTGACTGAACGTAACATTCAGGACTAACCTGATTTTTTAGCACCTTTTTGGCGACTCTTCGCTCCTCCATGAAGCTGTAAACAACGAAACTATCTTATAACTTTGCGGAAGAGTACGAATAGCATGCACAATTCCATTACAACAGAAGTCATTGTGCACTTCCTCTTAGGAGCTCAAAGGGTTGCAAGGGTTCAAAGAGTACTTGATTTTTCATCACATTGAAATCGCAAACACGATGTTTTCTATCTGAAATATTATACAATCAATAGACATAGACAAATAGCAAGGAGTTTAACTATCACACACACACGATAAGACTATCTGATTGTTGTAAAAGAATGTAGAACAAGAATCAAACACCAAAGTTATACCGCCATGATATGCTCAGACAACCGTTGATCCATGTCCTCGTCAGGTTTGTCAAGTAATATGAATAGAAGGTCAAAACGTGAGAGGATAGCTGCACTCATCTTCAGGTTTTCATTCACTGTTTTTGAGCGACTGCGCACAACTCTCACTTAGAGTCAGAACTGTGAAGTTAGCCGTAAATATTACCTATTGATACAACAAAACAGACTTCGAACAAATAAACTCCCGTCCGGAAAAACCTTCAGATGTGCACTCAAAGGCTAAAGAAATATACGCCAACTCTTTACAGGTTACCTCTGGCTGATATAAAGCAAAACATACTCCATAAGATTCATAATACAAAGACTAAAGCATAATAAGAACAAGAACATAATGAAAAAATACAAGCACGTGTCGTTTAATTCCAGCAAAGAGGACGAATTTACTTGTAATGACCACCAACTGGATTTGCAGCAGCAAGGACTGATGTACGTGCTGCCAAGCTGGCAACAAGTCCAGCCTTTGCAACCGATACACTTTGTTGTTCCATAGCTTCAAGTAGGGCCTGAAGTTGGTGCAATATGTATGAGAACAGAGAACATGAGATTTCCCACAGTTCCCCCAGTTCTAAACAAATCGAACAATTATCATATATCTTCTGAATATTCAATTCAGACATACTAACGGCCGAACAGATAAAAGCAATGCCACTTACAAGTTAAATCACCAACTACAAAGTTAGAACTATTTTCTGTACGATTCATGTGCAGATGAAGCCCCCTTACCTGATGCTCAGAAGCCATTTTGTCGAACTCGTCAATGCAGCAGATACCTTGATCTCCAAGAAGCATTGCCCCTGCAAGTTTCTACATGTCAGAATAACAGAGAATACGAGTTCTCCGCCGTGGTGTTCAACATATGGAAATAAATGCAGTTGAAGGTATCACGACCACCTATTTTTCTCGACTCGCAGGATTACTTCGCTGGATAATCTCTGGATCCTCTATATAAACTCTCAAATACATTTTTCACCTGCTTCGAATACCCAATCACCACTTAGAGCATCCTTGACTACTGCTACAGTGAGACCAGCTGTGGTGGTTGTATTTCCGCAGACATATAAGCCGCGTGGGGCGACCGAAGAAGCGGCTTGCAGCAGCTGACTCTTTCCGAGCCCAGGATCACCTACACTAGCATCACCAGCACTTGTGAGGAGCCTGAATATTACAAGGTGATAGCCGGAAGAATTAAGAATTTCAAAAACTGATGCGTGTAAACAAAAGACTGGTTTGAGTAGCTCGGTAAACAATTTTGCATCTTACAATTTTTAATGTAGTTGAGAACCTTACCGACAATAATAAGGTGTATAGTCCCTCGGACAGGCACCTTGTTCTTATCCATCACATGTTTTTGAACACCCCCAAATAAAGCGAGAGCAATACCAGCTGCACTTAAATACCATGGTCAGTTCTGACTAGTGCACACCAATTGAATCCGAACATAAGCCCATATTATTTGTTCTACGGTAAAACTATTTATCATCTATCCTGGGCTGAAACTTGAAATCTAATATTCCTGCCCCTGAAACAAAAATAAATCAATGTTTAAAGTGGTTTTACCTTTCACCAATTCATGGCCAAATATAGATGGACAGATGGAATGCAGAATCTGGCGGAAAGCATCAGAACCGGCTCCCTCTATGAAATTTGCGATGGCCTCATAGTCCTGAGAAGTAAAACTCAGTTGGTGCGAAGAAGATGCCATCCTCAAATCACCCTCGGATTCTCCATCTTCCGACCGTTGGCTCCTTGTATTTGTAACAGAGACCGCTTCTAGGTAGAGATGATATAGACATTGTTTACCTTTCTTGCCTACACAATGTATCAGTTGAAGCTCATAGATAGTTTCGAAACCAATTGCAAATGTTAAAAAGCCAAATTCTCTAGGTTTTGCATGGATCTGGCTGGTATGTGCCCACGACCTCTCTCTCAGCGCCATTGTTACAAGCTCGGACCCAACAGCTACGAAGACTTACCGCCACCTCCGACATCTACATTGGTGTTGATGAAGTTTACAATGCCACAAATGGTGACAACATCTCCAGGGACACATATATCCACCAGGTCCTCTGTCAACTCACACTCTACGTTTCTTGGTAAACGACCTTCCTCATAAGCTTCTTCGCTTACAATTTCTTGGATTCTTGCAAAGAACACATAAAACTATCAGAGTAAATACACAAAGATATCTAAAGAGAAAAATGTCCCCTTCACAAACTTGGGAAAGGAAAGGAAAAAGGACAAAAAAAACACTAACAGAAAAATGAATGGATTCTAAACATGCAGCACCAGAAAAGCGAATGAGAAAGAATTCGACCATCTATCACAAGATCACAATAATTACTCAGCTCCCTAGACCGAAGTCTACAGAAGCAAGCAATTCAAGAGGCTTGTGAATGTACCTGCAGAACATCTCATAAATCAAAATGACACAATCGGGAAAAATCTATAACCACGGTTAATCAAAATGTCATATGTCTCTTCCAGGATTATTCAGAACTCTTGTACCTAATTTTTTGAAAGTCGATGCATTTTGCTGTGGATCTTTCAGGAGTGAAAGTCTTGCTCCGACAACTGCCACCACAGACAGTGGGCGGCGAAAACCTTCCATCTTTAAATTGACGGGAAATAACCCGTTTACACTTGGGACAAGTGAAGTCCATACAAGTAACAAGCGGCTTCACCACGCTCATCCTCACCACAGTTCCTCGCACTGATATAAGCCTTCCTATTGCATAAAGATTTTGGAAAAAGAAATAGAATTTTAAATCTTTAAGAGACTCAAACACGGCATATGAAAGTTTTCGGTGCATCGTTCTAAAAACTCTAGACAAGATTATCTCTCTACTCTGTACTTCTTCTAAAGAAATCCATATCAGTTCAGCATTCAATCCAACATATACAAAATAAAATAGTCTAGACATACAAACAAATACACAATTTTCACAGTAACCCCCATAGACTTCAAAAGCCATAGAAACATCGTCAATATGGAACTACAATGTCCTCATGTAAGAAACAAATTACCTATCCATGATGCTTTCAAAAGTTTCAGTGCAAGTAAAGACTCCGGGTGATTATGCAGTCTAACGATGATTTTCCCAGGGCTGGCCACCTGCTTGCCTAAGCAAAATAACACCTGCGAAACGATATTGACATTGTTTGACTTCAGTAAACCGTAAACTGGTAAGAGACAACAACACCGGAGAACAGTGGAGAATCTCGCTGCTATTGCAGTAGGTAGAATCATTCCTGGTGTAGACCTATTCAATACTTTGTACTTATTTTTCTTTTTTTTAAAGTAAACCCAAGCACCGTGCTTGACTACAAATCTTCCGAATACAAACCTCATAGTACAATACAGCACCCATTTTATTCTAATGTAATACCAGCTAGACTTTGAACACACAGAATTCGTAAGTGAGGTGCTGTAACCTCGTAAACGGCAGCCCCTAAGCATGAAAGTGCTTCATGAGGGGCCATTTCAAGGGCTGCAAATAGTTCCTCATTTGCGCAACATTTTTGAAGTACTTGAAAGTCCAATGGCAAACAGTACGTGTGAGTCTCTAGTATCACCTGTTCACATTTCAATAGCATTAACTAACATCGAAGAAAATGGCAAGGAGTCTAAGAGTGAATTATCATACATTTGCGTGATACATGTGATTATGAATCTGCTCGCCTACGTATGCCTGAACCAGAACAGAGTGTCTTCTTAGCTGATAATAAAATATTCTGCTCTTTTGAAGTAGAAATAAGCACCTCGATTTCAGGAATGTTCAGGAAAATCAGATTCACAGCGCTGTCAACTCGAACAAACTTCCACTATAGAACATCCCTAGAACAGATTCAGATTTTTGAAGCCTACTTTTGTGTCGGCAACAATAACAACTAATAATATGACTAGTAATACATTCTCCTTTAAATGAATGCAGCATACGAGGAAATTGAGTTCAAATGTAAGTTATCGTTGTACAATATCATGTTCCAAGAAATTGTTTCCAATGACGATTCATCACAAGGAAAAGATTTAGACGCTCGATGATTCCATCGTACCTGCGACAGGATCTGCTTGGCAGCACTCGTCTGGAAAAAATCTAGCAAACTCTTTATAAGCATTGCTCTCCTATCATCGAGCCGGAATTCCTCCCCCGGAAAATACTCCAGCCATGAACTTGGAACATCAGACGTATGAGGAGATGATGGTTTCTCCACCTCCGTCTCCATGTTTCCACAATAAACGAGAACGGAGAGGAGCAATCACAATTGAAAAATCGTCGCCATTTAAATCTACCACAGCTAATACCTGCGATGAACTTTCGCAAAATCCAATCAACTTACTGAGCCAACTTCGCCAATAAGAACACGAAACAAAAGAATTCGCGTAATTAGTGCGAAGCATGGAAAAAACGCTGCTACAAAATTCCGCATCACCTCAAATAAACCTGGCAGTAGATACCATTGCCGCAATCACGAAGGAAGAAACAATTGTCTCAAGCTCTCCATAATTGACAACTGCAATGCACCAAAAAAAAAAAATCTCCAACGGAATGCAATTCAAAGGAAACACAGGCCCTAACAAATGCGACCGACCTTGATTACCGCCACAGCCGCAAAGCGAAGCGAGTCTCGAAACTCGCCGATCACTGTGGCCGCTTCGCCATGGCCTTCGGACCGAGAAGTGCCATAATTCCACACTCCCTGCGCTCTGGTATACAAAACGTTCATTGATTGCGGTTGCAATTCCATTCTACGAAGGAGGAAGGGGGTTTGTAATTCGGGAACCGGAAGCGTCTACAACAAGCTGAATTCATACCGCGTAGCTTGGCGGGAGAGAAGCTTCGACGAATGATAAAAGGCTTTAGATGATATATTGACAGATTAACGGATACATCCATGTGATGAATGTGTTCGTTATTCTTCATCGATATTTCTAATTTCAAAATGCTAGCACAGCAATTGACCAGGAGTTCTTCGAATTCTTCTTTTTTCTTATAATTCAATATATATATATATATATATATGCTTATTTACTTGTGAATAACTAACAACCAAAGTCAAAATCAAGAAAGATTTCTTTAGATTATTTTATTCTTTTAGATATGAATTTGGCTTATTTACCCCTTGTAGAAATGAAGTATTGTAAAATATGTAGAAATTGAAATAGAAATATTATAATTAGTAAATTCATTTGATATACATCTTTGAAATAAAATAAAATACTTTGATATGCAAAGAAAGCATCATAGGTTTTTTCTAATTTTTTGAAAAATTATATATTATTTTATATCAACTAAACCTTCATTTTTTTATTAAAAAATTAATTCAGAAGAATGGGTGTATAAGAATAAATTAAAAAAATAATTTAATTTTCAGGATATGCAAAATATTATATTAGAATACTATTAAACATGAAATCAAAACCAAATTTAGTTGCAATTGGATCTGAACTAATTTTAAGATTAAAAATATAGTTTTGATTTAATTAATATTAATATTAATTTTATAATTTTTTATATGACTTGCACTTCAATATCATCAGTATATCATCAGTAATCTTTTATACTTGATAATAATAATAATAATAAATTAAATTATTAAAAAATAAAAGACATTAAGGACTTCTAGTTTGAATAAGATTTAAAGTTCAAAGTTTTTTCATTATTAAAAAATACATATATGTATATATTTAAAAATATATTTATTGTTTTCTACATATGGCATACATTTATTCATCTATACATTTGTGTTCTTATGTGCCACTTCAACATCCTTTGCTACTTCTTTTGTTAGTTCCCATCACAACGCCAATCTTTTAATTAAGCATAATAAAACAACATGACATAAGAGCATGTTTAGAATTTTCTTAAAAGTTAGAAAGTGATCATCTATGGTATTAGACCAAACTAGAGGTTTTGCCATCAATTTAGGTTATTTCCATGTATAGGTTTAATTATGACAAGCCAAAATCTTGGATTGAGGTGTAGAATATTAGCATGATTTGAAATTAGTGGCCACAAGGCATAGACCATCTAATATTCTAATTATGTAGAATTTATGTCACCATTGCATTATTGATCCTCTTGCAATATATATGAATGTATTAATTAACTATTTTACCTTCCTTAAAGCATCACTTATGGCTATTCTTCTAACCTTAAGGAATAGCCTACTTATTTTAGCAAATAATATTTGCACTATTTCTCATTTTCTTATTTTTTAATCTAAAAATACAAAATAGAAATAGAAATATTTCGATTACAAAAAAAAAAAAAAAAATACAAAAAAAAATCTTATCAAAAAAAAAATTATAAATTAAATTTTTTGTAAATTTGCTCATTGATGTTGATACATACTGAATTTTTAGAAAAACATATTTCAAAATATGATTGGTTTTTTGTTATTAAATTTCAGTTTTTCAAACCACATGTTTTTTTTTTTTTGAAAAACATTATTATCAAAAAATCTCAAGAAATACTCAAAAACATTTAATTTAACACATTTTCAAAAATTAAATTAATAATATTATTATTCCTTTGAAGAAAAAAACATCAATTTTTATTTTTTGGTTATTATTTTCTAAAAATGTAAATCATCAATTCTATATAAATATTTGAATGTAATCAAATTTAAATTTTTTCTTAAATCATTACTAAAGATAATAAAAAATTGCATATACATATATTTTTTGTAATTTATTTTTATTTTTAATTTCAAGGCATTTATTTTAGATTTAAAATAAATCAAAAGTAAATCTAAAAACAATTAATTTTTAGGTAAAAATTACACTAATAAATCAAATAAAGTAAGAATACTAACTCTGTAATAAATCAAATAGAATACTAACTCTGTAATATTTTGTTTTGTTACATTTCTTTTCAAAAGAAATACATATATATATATATATATATATATATATATATAAAGGTTAAAAAGGAAAAAATCAAAATTTTGGTTAAATGTATAATAACATTATATAATCTCAAATTATGAAAAGTAATAACACAAATTGTATTATATATAGAGTTTAAATTTAAATTTAAAAACTAAACTAAACTTAATTAAAAATAAAAAACATTTTTGTGTATATTCATACATTCATTCATTCATCCATCCAAAGTATATTGCTCATTATTACATCTCAATAACTTGCTTTAACATAATATGTTTGAAGCAAAAGAAGAGGTGTTAATATTAGAATTTATAATTGACAAAATAATTTACTGGGGAAATACTTGAACTAATTTGAGCACCTTAATTTTGTAAATAATACAAAATTCTATAATATTACATAAATTTGAAGGTAAAGAATATGTTTACAAAATTATGTATTGTTTTAAATATAATGAGTTTAATCTTTTAATGTTTTAATTGAAATACTAAAATTTGAAAATGGACATTTGTACTTTTGTTAATATTTTTCAAATCACAAAATTATTATTTCATCTGATCACTCACTTAAGTTCCAAGCCTGCCATTACAAACCCGATTAAAAACCATGAAAAAGAAACTAGTGTCATTGTCTAGAGTACCCAACAAATGCCTTGAAAAACCATTTCCTGAAAGGGTTTGTGGTGATGAGGAATTGATCCTTTTCACGTAAATAGGAGTTGCTACTTCAATTCATGCACATGAATGAGGTGCAGTGACTAAAAATTAATCACTTTCTGAATAGAAGTTACTATTTCCATTCGTGCACATGAATCTCATATCCATACAAATGCGTTTTCTATGCTACTTGAATTCTATTTGCATTACCGAAGGGCAACTTCCATTTTAAACAGAAAACGCAAACCCCTCCAGAACAACTAAAAAGAGGACAGCAACTAGTAAATGCTCTTCACACCAGCTGTAGATAATGTGAGGAGTGGAACACTGATCAGGCCCTACTCTGGCAACTGCTTAATATCATAGCCTACGTAGCAAGATGCTCATGAAATTGCAAAGAATTTAAATTTAACTTTTATTTCCAAGCTGCTCTACATCTCATTTCAAACATTTCAAAGCCGCCCCTCCCCTGCCCCCCACTTAAATACTCCAGGGACTCTGCCTCTGGGAAAGTGCATAATGTTCCTGATCACATCTTCAGCCCCATAACTCAACACTGCAAAAAGATTAATTGAAGGTGTGGGATCAGTGACAAAGGTTCACAATTCTTCCAAGAGCCTCGTAGATAAAGAGTGACAAGTTCAAAACGAAGTATCAACAAAGAACAGATGCAACTATAATTCATCCCTGGTAAGTACGGTTGAACCTGGGCATTAAAGTGATGCGCATTACCTTAAAACATTTGCCGAAGAAAACAAGCCCAGTGAGTGCGCTGTAGGCAGAGAGACTCTCAAGAAAGATGATAAACCCATTGCAACATTCTCCAATCTGTAGTAGCTCATGTCAAGAGCTTTCCATACGTAAATGCTCCAATCATAAATGTCACCAATCCCATTCATTCCTGCTTCATCGACAAACCACTTCGTCAAAAACCCTCAATAAATACCCCATAAAATGATCAAGTGCATTGTGCTTTCCGTGAGGGATGAAGTTAAAATCAAACTTAGCCAGGCACGAGTATGTCTGGCAACTGAGCGACTACAAAAACCAATCATGCCAGAATTAACGTGGCACCCTAGAGGCACTTCTAAGTATACCCCAGTGGGATTCTTAGAGTACGCCTCACCTTACGCAAGCGTCTCCTCGCTTGAGTTAGTATACACCAGGGCACAAAAAGCATGCACTTGCGGCAAGTCCGCCAATATTCTTATGAAGCGGTTATCATCAAGAGACTCCAAAAGGGCAGATCCAGCTCCTGCTACAGGAGGAAGCAGCTTCGCCAGAGGGATACCATTATCTGAAGATCCTCTGTATATAGCATAAAGCTCTTCCATGACTCCATCCAACATAGAATCCACACAGACAGCCATCACTTCGTGGAATTCATTGCTGTCCAACGGAATCAAAAGCCAGATTGTCAAAACACAATTCACACAATACACCATTTTTCTTAACAGTGCTACTATAGTTTGATATAAAGGACGCAATTCTCAATTCCGCTTGCTGACAAAGCGTGCATCTTAGCCATTACCTTACCAAAACTGCCCTGGTTTCATTCATGAGCTGGTCAAGCACCTCATTGTCATTGAGCGCCATTTCTGCAACTGGATTTGATGCATCAGCTGAAGAGGCGACTGACAAATCATCTGGCAAGACATTATCTGGTGGGAGAACATATTGAACCCAGGCTGATCTCTTGCTATCCAAGGTTGCTCGAATTCTCATAAAAACATCCCTAAGGTCGTCAAGTGTGTAAGGCTCCTTCAGTGGCTTGCTGGAAAACCCCACACAAAGTACCGATCAGTCTAATACAAGATATTTACTCGATGTTATCGTTCATCATTAACAACAAAACAATGCCGAAATGAGGATACCCAGTTACGCCTGTGAAGCTTCCAAGCTAGAAACTTCTTAAGTAAGAGATAGCTATTCAACGTGGAACCACTGCAGTGCATGGCATCTGGAACTAATTATCACATACAAGCATAACTGAGAAAAGCATACCTCCTCAGTACAATTTCTGCAGCCTGATTAACATCTCCAACAAGAGCATCTAGACCCTTGTGATGCAAATATCCAGCGTAAGCTATAAACTTATGTTGGACGCTCATAGACAAGGGCACGTGCGAATCCTGCAATGGGACGGAACGAGAAACATTAGGGCAAAAGATGTCTGGCATAAAAGGAGGCTGTTGAAAAGGCGAAGTGAAGCTAGTAATCAATCATCGTATAAAAGCATCTGAGAGCTCCCGAAAACAAGAGACAAGGGACTAGCCACGAATATTGCATCATTCCGTCAGTCATCTAAAACTCTGTACCTCAGGATTCATAAAATCTCTGGCGGTGTCGAAATATACATGCCTCCCCAGGATGTTTAGTTGAATGCGGATGAAGAGATCCAGCAGACTGAGTGCTGACATTGCACAGACTGTGCGAACGAAACCTAAACACATGTATTTGAGAAAGACAAGGCATAAGGAATCAAATACAGAACATTACACTATCTGGAGCATGCCATGTCAAGGATGATAATAAAGAATCGTCCGCACTAAAATGCCTAGAACATTATAGGACAAGTGAGAAAACCAAATGAAGCGATTTGGTGAGCTGTGCATCGTCTTCTAGCATCATAACCACAATTTTGACTGCTCACCTGAGCCTACACAACCATTGATAAATTCATAGCAGTTACAACTTAAGAATTAATTGGAAATAATTGCAACTCACTTAGGGTCTTCAATTCTTGCCATAGCTGCATCTTTTCCCTCTGACTCAATGATTGCGGGTCCTCTTTGCCTAGAATCAGCTTCTCAGTTAGTCCCGATAGATCGACCTTGGAGAAAAGCCTGTCTTTTAACTGCGGTAACATTGACGGTAATGTTGTTGTGTCTGATATTCTTTGAATGCTCTCAAAATGGCTCTGCAGCCTGAAACCAATCCAGTTCATTTATTGGTTATGATGTCATGCAGTTCGATAAGGATAAAACACTAGTTCTCCCATACCACGCAACCAGATATAGGTGAACTACATCTTTTGAAATATTATTCCAACTCAATCACTACTAAAATATGTCATATTTGCCAAACAATTGTATGCACATGATGCTAACAACAAAACGAAAATGGATAATTGAGCATACTGAGCTTCGGCACGTTCTTCAGCTTCCCTCTGCAACAATGCAGCTCGTGCAACATCTCTTTCTTTCCGTGCTTGCGAAGCCAACCCTAGGTACCGGAAACCATAATAAACTGCCGCCCCTCCTCCCACCAATCCAGCTGCAACGAGCAACGATCGCCGATGCTTCTTGGCCCATGCCCTAAGCAGATCCAGCGCGAGTGTAGAGCAAGTCAGATCAAACCAGGGACTAAAAACATGTTCAGTGCTTCAACACTTACAAGAAGGCGCACGTGTGCTCAATCGGTTCAAGCATGAAATCGTAGACAACGCTATAGTAGAATTCTCCCTACGGAAAAAATAATCATCCCCTTCCGCGAAGAGTAGAAGGTTGCAATTCGATAGGGTTTGTGAAGTTCATACGACCTGAGTGTTCACGCCAGACTCAACAACTCTAAGTGGCAGGAAAATAATTATTTGCAGGGTAGAGGAAACCAATCTGTCTCTAGCTCACAGACGCGTACATAAAGTGCATGCAATCAAAAGACTCTCGAACTCCATCGGGAATTTGAGAACAAGGAACGAGATTCGTGAAAATTCCCTAACCACCTGATGTTCGAAGGAACCCGATCATAAGAAAGTATCCAAGACACTGCCATATTGGATAGCCACACGCGAGCAAACGGATTCAACACACAACAGCCACAAAGTCCCAAAACTGACGATAATAGTAGCCCTAAAATTGGTTGAATTCTCCTAGAATTATATAACAAAATCCTCCAAAGATTTTGTGACCAGCAACGGAATCAGGCAAAATTTCCGAAGAAGTGCCATTCCGCAAGGGCCTTTCAGACCTGAGGTTCCAACTCCCAGATACCCACAATGTCCCTTATCAATTACGTGTCGTAGGAATTGATTGCAACCCACAAAAGTCTAGCCACACCTCCCACGTGATCAATTGCTCGGACTTAAGTACGCCCACGCTAACCTCACATAAAGTCTCCCACGCAACAAATTATGTTCATCAAAACTTCTACAGTCGACAAAACAATTTCCCAAACCTCCCAAAGCCATCACAATTGTAAATCGCTACAAATCATTCAATCCCCTGAAAAACAGCAGCATCTGTCATTCTTACTTGAGATCGTAGTAGCACGTGAGGTGCAGCGGCGTTGTCATCGTGATGGCGAATTAATTACCAAAACGGGCTAACCTGAGATTGAAGAGAGGAAGAGCAGATCAAGCGTGTCAAATGAAGAGAGACGAACTGTTAGCAAGTAGAGATGAGTCGTGTTGGCTCCATCGCTGTCATCGCAGAGCAGGGGAACCCTCAATGACAGAGGTAAGCTTTTGCCGAACCTCCGAAAAAGCGAACCCTAGTAAGTCTCTAACCGAGGAACTGGCTCTACGGTTCCACAGTATCTGCTAAATTTGGCATGACTTGCACATCTGGTCGGGTATAACCAGCAGCTCGTCATAAACTTGCTGACGGGAATCGACAGATTACCGATTAAGATTCTGTAGAAAGATCGGCCTTAATCGGGAAAAACGAAAACCCGAAAACACATAAACGAATGAAGTGTTGTTGGCAACCAATCGATCACTCTCAATGTTGGTGGTTGCTTTGTCCTCTTAGGAAATGGACACACACCAAGTTTATTCCTCGCTAATTAGTTCTGCAATGCGAACAATTCGGTGCAGAATGGAATATGAGTTTAACCACGGACAACATTTCGATTGGCGATTGCACAGCCCAGCAACTTCTCATGGGAGGTCATCATAATCACTATCGTCAAACCAGCCTTCGCCATTTCCCGTCACAAGACAAGAAACGATTAAACGAGATTAAGATATGTCGTGACTCCTCTTCGGACCAGTTCGCATCTCATTAGCTCGATGAGCTCGCTAAAAATTCTTACCAGTGAAGAAGTAATTAAATAAAATCGATCATAAGTACCCCCCAAACGAACATTGTCATTTGACGATTTTGTTTGATGTTACTTTTGTTCTTTCTTTATTCCTGCAACAGATGGTTCCGGCTAAATGTCATTAAGGTTGTTCACATGGTGTATTTTATCCGCAAACGTTTACTGTGGTGCACAACTTGCAGAGAAACTAGGAGGAATCATTGGAAATTTGTTGAGTCCTACAGGAGCTACAGTGGCAAGCCAGTGAAATCTGTTGCTTGTTGTGAATTCTAACCTGAAATGTTAGTTGTCCAATTGCTTGTTGTGGATACCTATGCGAATCACAGAATTTTGAGCTTCGGTTTCAAGGATAAGTTTCTGGTGAGGATAGTTGTAGTCTTCTCTTTCCATTTTGAAGCAAATGCAGAAACAAAACCTTTGGGATTTGCTTTAGAAACATTGCTACCCATGGACGAGAACATACGAACTTCCGTAATGTCAAGGATCAATCTTTCGAGGATTCATGTGAATTGGTCGTTTCGAACTCTCAGCAGGACTGATAGCACCTAGTCTTTCTCGGAACGATTGATTCTCTTCGCTTGACGACCTCCACCTCAGTAAAATCGGCGTATAGATGGAAGGCTGCCAGAATTTGGCGAAGAAATTGTCTTCGATAAGGGTAGGGCTGCGCATCCTGGAGAGTGCGGATCAACGACACGTGATTCTTCACTCAACGCTCGTACTTCTGCACTTTGGAATTCCAGAGACGTGCGTGAACTGAAAACCATCGGACAAAAGGAACTTCCACTCATACATTTGACTTTTTCTGCAACTTTCATTCGAGTGCTAGTACAACACCGCAGCCTCCGTGCTAGTCGTGGTGTACGAATCCATGTGCTCGCCCTCGCCGAAGAAGTTTGAACGCCTGTCCAACGGCCTTTCTCTTCACGGGCGGAGCTATCAAGACGAAGACTCCACAACCCTCTTGAGATCTCCCTCCAATATGTGGAGATAATTCTTGAGGTCCAAAACCGTAGCACAGGAACTGTGGCCAGTTGCCGCAAGTGCAAAGCGATTACTGTCACCGCCGCTCGAAAGGATTCTTGATCCTTGTCTGCCCCCAGCACTAGCAGAGGGAATCTGTTTTCTCCTAACCCCTAACAAAATCATAATCCATTCTAAGAGAAGGAATAAAAAACCCCAAAAAAAAAACCATATCCATGACAAGGAACATCGAGAATAACAGCACGCACGATCCAGATTATGCTAGGCCAACGAAATCACACTCTCCACAGCCTACGATTTGGCAGAAGCTTAGGCACCCCTACGAAAACGAGAAAAAAGAACACCACACAGTCGCCAGCAACCAACGAAGCGCATCAAAAGTATCAAGAGAGCGGCACACGCTCCAATTCCTGGGGTGCCCACCACCACCACCACCAAAGCGCAACCAGATGCTGGTAAGAATCTCATTGCAAGGCCTTCCTTCATTTCCTGCTAATCGGCCCAAGGTCCGAATTCTTTCGTGTCGTGCTGCCAGTAACATGACGATCCGTGAGGTCCCTTTTCCAGAAGTGGCTCCGCGCTCACCGCACACTACTGCACAGATTGCGTGCGTGCGTGCATGCGAATGAGGTTGCGATTCCAGGGCAGACAGCGGAAGAATGTCTTGCCCAGCGTTGCTGCTGCCTGCGAGTTCGCGAGCCTTGGTTGAATAGAGTCGGGGCTTTTACCGGGCCCGTTACTTTCGGGGCACATCATCACTTTAAAGTATCATAACTTTTACCTTCTTCTTCTTCCCTTTGGTATGCATTGATTATATGTTGTATTGTGATGTGTAAGGACTGAAGCACAATTTTATTTCATGTTTTTTGAATTTTACTTAAGTATTTAATTTTTTAATTTTATTTTTTTTTCAAATTATATTATTGATTCTTTTGTGAAAATTTCATAGTTCTAAATTAGTCCATTTACAAACTTTAATTCTCTGATTTTTAGTATTATTTTAATAGGCAAGTAAAACTAAAACATTTGATTTCCAAGGGATTTTATTCTCTTTAATTTATTTTTCCAGTGTACTTCTATTGCTATTTTGATGTTAACCATAAAAAAATAATATTGATTAAAGATTTCAACTTGACTAATGATCTATGATAAAACTCAAAACCACATTTTATGTAGGATTATATATATATATTAAAAAATATATTATTAATATCACCACAATTTTTGTTATTGCCACCACTATTCATTCAATGCATAATGACTCATGATCTTATAAACTCATCTTCAACGCTTCTCTTATATGTTTCTTTCATTTTCAATGCATCCATCGCTCTCTTCATAATTTTTTACACAATGTTTCCTATTCATGAAGCTTGATAGTCTAGCACCTTTGCAAGTCATGGATGCTTTAATTTTCTATATATAGAATATAAGTCTAGTTGCATATTGTGTAATTGTGATAAAACATTATCATATCTCATACAATTTCACTGAGTTGGATCATGATTGTAGTAAAGGAACTAAGTGGCATGTGATAGATAACAAGTTGTGGTAGCAATAGCAATATCCCATATATATATATATATATATATACACACACATATTAGAAAAAATAGATTCCATTTATGTTACACAAGCTTTTGAGGTTATTAGCAAGCATGGGACAAGATCTTCTAAGATCAGATTTGACACATACAATGGTTGAAAAAGAAAGTAAGGCATTATTTATTACTTAACTGGAATTACATGCCCTCTAACTTAACATTGTTATAGCTTGTGGTCCTATTGCTCAAGACCTACTAAGTATTGTGTTAATTCTCAACTATTCCATTATATTTTTTTCAACCCTTAAATATCCTTATAATTTGGTACATCTTTGTCAATTTTGGCTGTCTTGTAATAGCACCTCATCTCTTCATTTATTGTTCTTTTAATGCTGTGCCATCAAGATACTTTAGTAGGTATCATTTGCAAGCAGGTAGATGCTCTTCAGATGGATAATTCCATCATAGGCAAATGTAGTCACCTCTTTATTATGAATTTAGAATACTGACTAGAAATCTAAACAAGAAGCTCAAGAAGAATTTGTAAGAATTAGATTAATCAGATAAGTACAAGAACAACACTAGAGAGGTGAGCTAGAGCTCCAAGTGGTGTATTGTCCAGACTGAGGATCCCCTCGGTCTTGGCTCTTATATATACTACAAGCTAGGAAGCTTCTCAAGTAGCTTCCACAAATTAGGAAGCTTTTCAAGCAGCTTCTATGAGTTAGGAAGCTTCTCAAGCAACTTCCATGAGCTTAAAAACTTCTCAAGTAGCTTCTACAAACTACAAAGCTTCTCTAGAACCTTCTAGAATCTTCTATAACTTCCTAGTGTATGTCCTTGACATCACTCCTCTCTTTAGCTTCGAGGTCTCCAAGAAGCACTTCTATTGCGAGTCAGTACTAACATAAGAAGTTGAAAATTTGTTGCATAGTATTTGCAATATACTCCAATTGTTGTTTGTGCAACAAGTAGTTCATTGGTCCTTGTAACCAACGATAATATCCTACGCCTTTGATTTTCGACCAAGCATGAAAATGCCCTGCAAATACTCCTTCGGGAAGATCACTGTAGGCAGATTCTACCTCAAACACAATCACTAGCGACCTGTTACTAGGTATCCTCCATCGTCTTTGTGGTACATGCAGTTCTTCATCTCCGGGTCGTCTTCGTGAGATACTCGGTTGAGAGGACATGTTTGGTATGGTATCTATTCTTTGGCTATCTATATCAGACCAAAAAAATAAGTACTAAATATGAAAGAATGGACTCAGGTTACAGATTTATAGTCTCTAACTATGTCTTTTAGAGGTTCCTTCTCCTCCTTTTTTGTAAGGTAGAGGATTAAGAGGCTTCAAGAAGAAGGAACTTCACTAAAAAACTTTCATCAAAAGGGCTTAGGTTTTTGCAGATAGTGTCAATGAAACTCCTGTACCTTTTGCGACGCATTGATAAGATTTTTTGTTGGTTCCTATGTGCGCTCATTGATATCATAGCCGCTCGAATGCACTAGGTACTCCAATTTCTCCTACTTATGCCACAAATCTAGTACCTTTTCCACGTCATATTCCTTATGGTTTTCAATTTCAATATTAGATGGTGGACATTGCACTCTTCCAAGAAAAGACTACTCTCGATAAGGCTCCAAAAAGAAACATGAAAGACTAGTTGTACCTTCATAGCAGCCGGTAATCCCAAATGGTATGCCATTGGATTCATTTGCTTCTAGATGACAAATGGTCCCAATATCCGATAGTCCAACTTATCACATGGCTGCTTGGTTTTGATATTCCATCGAAGTAGCCATATTTTATTTCCAATTTTGAAAGTAAGTGCTTGATTCCAAAATTTATCTGTTGACGCCTTATAAGCTTTTTAGGCAGTTTGGAATTGAAGCTTCAATGTAATTTGAAGCTTTGATAGTTGTTTCACAAATCCTTCAATTGCGAGATTGTTATTGGTTGATGGACTCAACAAATCAAGCTTTGGATGATACCCATTGTTGGAAAAGAATGATGTTTGTTGAGTTGATGCATGAAGGGTGTTGTTATATGCAAATTCAACTAACGATAGATATGCAATCCAATCATCTTACTA